CTTCCCGCTGATGACGCGAGACTGTGCATGACAAATAGGGAGCAGACGATAGGATAGTAGTGAGCCACGTGTTCTGGGATCCAACGTAATCAAAGATGGCCAACATGGGAGCCAAACTGTGCGAGTACGTTGGGAATCCGACTTTAGGACCTACCTTGTGGGCTCGTCTACAAGTAGGAACGCGGGGTCGATCAGCAGCTCGTGCCCCATAGACACGCGCTTCCGCTCGCCGCCGGATACGCTTCGAAGCCGCCTGCAGATGTCCAAGTAACGTCCGCTAAGCGCGGGACGAAAATTTAGGCATTAAATTGGGAAGATACAAGCGAAATGACACTTTCTGAGTTCGCCGAAAACAGCCCAATCCCCGAACGGCATCAAAGCGTTGTGTCTATTTTCAATGTGCCACCACTCCAGCAAACTAGATATGCAGGCAGAAGCAGATAGTCCCAGCGCTTAATTCATTAATGTTCGAGCGATGCCACAGCATCACCTATGAGCAGGTCGCGGCATTCCGCAAACCCCACAGTAGAAATTCCAAACGTTTCTTCTTTTTGACCCTGCGGAATAATAAATTCGACCACATCTTTTGACACAACCAAACAACACGGCGTACATTGTGTAGCTTTATCTTCAAGCACATTTGATGTAAATATGCTATCATTATTATGGATACGGTAAAGTATGATACAGAAATGTGGCTTTATCATATCAACCGTTATATGATAATGCAATATTGGATTGCTATGATAAGTAATCAAGTTAGGGAAGACGATATGTCGATTTTGATACGCCTATCATCGAATTGACGCTAGACGGGGGCGAGTCTGGACATGTGATGATAAGAGATTACGTAATTGCCACAGAATCGACATAAGGAAGGAAGGTGCCCGAGAAAAACCACTGATAAGCGAGAAAAAGTCTGCGACTTGTTCCTTAACAATCAAATTCTGCTACGTTCGATCGTCAAGAAGCCGTAGAATAGATCAATTTGCAGCCATTGAGGCTGCCCATCTCGCCTATATTGGTAGAATCCCATTTCCAACCAACGTAAATTAGCGCAACTTTGACTTTTTTGTCTTAAAGCCCACCTAGAAGTTATGTACCACTGTTGTGTTGTGTTGCTGAGCCATCCTTGCATCGACATAAGAATTGACGCTAAGCGTACCAAAGTTGACACGGTGCCTTCCCTTTCACACGTCGTGCGTTTACGCACTATGCAAACATGCATACTTGTTCCATTTTGTGATAACATGAGACACGGCAACTGTTGACGCACCAACCGCCATACATACGCAATGGAGAAGAATCGGAGAGCGGTGAAGGAATGAGCGTATCCACCACATTGCAGTGCGCAACAACGACACGCTTGCCACACTTGCCAGGACCCATTAGTACGGTAATGGCACGATGTTGTCATAGTAGTTAAAAAATGCTGTTGCATTGCAGTACTCTAGCACAGTGGCACTGGTTTCCAGGAATTCATAGCACAGGACTGCATCAACAATTCTCAGAGACTGTCAAGGACCTCGCAACGCTCGGGAAGGGAAACCCCACAACGACGCGTCACGTGATTCCACAGTGGCAGTAGCAGTCCCCGACCACCAATGTATTGGACACATTGAAGGGCGTATATCGAGCACAAGGGCGGCGGTCCTCCTGTCCCAATAATTCACGTACCAATGCTGTCCGGAATACATTCCGCTCTTCCTCACTGCAATTTAGCTGCAGTGGAAGTAGGGCGGATGCAAAAACAGTGGAGAATGCAGCTGGGGTTCAAGGGGTCTGCAATCGGACGTCAACGACAAATCTGCTCAATGGACTATACAATAGCCCTTGTTCTACCATTCATAACTGCGCGATAGCATATATGTACGATGGGAAGGCGGCTGTGGAATCGCCAGTCCAGCTGGAAACCCTGCATCGATGGTGAGCCCATGTGCCCATCCAAATTGCCATTGCAGACTTTGGGAACTGCACAGGGATGCATTCCGGAGAGCGATTACCCAATGTCTTGACACTGTTCATATTTCCATGTTTGTGGATGACCACAAGACGGGGCAGCAACAAACGCCAACGAGTCACACGCATGCATTCAGATGAATGATTTGTGGATGGGTCATGTGCAAATATGGGAAATGTTTCGCACCTGATGATCCCATGAGTGCCAGAACTTCTCTAGGGACATACTTCCGCAGATGTTGTACAGAATCTGCCAGCCCATCAAAACCATGTATCAGAACACAAGCTCTGAATGGCTTCCCCAAATTGCGCACTGTACCGCTTCAAACTGCAAAAGCCACAAACCCTCTTGTGAGATGTATGCAACTATGATCCTGGGACATAGCCCAAGATTGCCACGATATTTCTCGGCCCCCATCGCGTGCAGTGCGCAAGGGCTCTGATCACTAGATCGTTTTGAATTGCAACCTGAATTGCCAAACATCCTTATTGGTTGACAGGATACATATGTGGCAGATGGCCTGAAAGCGCTGCGCGCGACATTCAATATCTCAACGCTGTACAAGTGGGGAGTGTATATCTTCCAAAAATGCAACAGAGCAACTTAATTTGGCATTCTCGACATGGCGCACTTTGGGGCACACTCTCCTCTGCATCAACCGTCATGCAAGTTACATCTGTCTGACTAATTTCTAGATACTTCTGTGCTCGCTATTCGCCAGGAAAAAAGGACCAAATAACACTTTTTGCGAGCACATGTATATGCATTTCATCAGTGTTCTGCATGCTAAACACACGGAAACAACACAAACCCGTAAACTTTGTACACATTTGAACACGCGTTATTTGGCCTTTTTCTCCCAAGTGATTTGGGGAGCGACGCAATGCGTCAGCTATGGAAAGGTAGGCCCACAACACACTGATGACACTCTTGCCTCCATATGATCATGGGCTGATGGGCCGAGGCCAATTCGTTGTTCTGTGTTGACCAATGCAATCAACGCCAAACCGAAACCCCGCCCACACATTGCCACTCAGCCAAGCGGGGTGATGACCAGCTTCCAACCGCATAAAGATCAGCAGAAAGCATGACCCGACAACATTTATGTCACCAGGCGGCTATCAGTACAATGTCGCAGGTTCTTGCAGGCAAGGACAAGGCCTTTGAGCTTGACTGCTGCCACTGGGTCCAATGTTTCAACCCTGTGTTGCAATGTCAATGTGACATTCATTGTAATACATAAGGACTGCAGTTCGTGTTGGGCGCAAGGTCGAGCTAAGATTCAACGCAACATCGACCCATCAATGCACCAAACAGAATAGGTTGAGAGTGGGCGCGTCCGACACCTCGATACTCGGCGGCCCCAGAAACTTCACGACTCTTTCAACACATTCCGGAGCTTTCCAGGAAAGCCGGCATTCCGGCAGGGGCCCAGGCCGGTGGTCTCGGCGAGGCGCCAGCTGGGCGATGGAGGCGCTTTGTTCGCCCCTGGCAAGGTGATCGCCACCCCAATTCCGCTTCACAATCCCAGGACTGGGCTCCCGAGACTGGGTTGGGCGCAGGTGAAGGGAGGTATGGGAGACATGGCAGTGCGGCGACAGAAGTGGTCAGGATGTTTGGCGGGATTGGCTAAATGGCAGTCAAAATATAAATTTTTATAAATATTTTTTTGGGCGTCGTGCGACGTCAATTCACCACCGTTATCGCACATGGGCGCGGACGCTGCGAGAGTGCACATTGCAAAGAAGCCAAGACAAGAACAGCCTTTCGTGCAAAATGTCGTTAGTGAGCCAATAGCACAATTAGTGTGCAACATCTTGATTTCCGAGCAAATTATAAAAACTATTGTGTTCAATATGTGCAATCGACCCATAATGCAATAAACATGCTCAAGATCAAAGAAAAATATGTTTTGAAGTTTCGCAACATTACCATTTCTACACTTGTGTAATCCACTAACGACGTTTTGCACGAAAAGGTGTTCAAGGCAAATAGTGTCCGAAACGGGTGTAAATGCATCGAACTTTGCGGCATTGGGAAGTGCAGTAGTTTGCGACATTGCAGTGCCTTGCAACACTGGAGTACGTAGCGCCCGTCCTTAAATTACTACCATTCTTTGGGCATCGAAAGTTTGGATCAGTGGGCTCCTGGGGGTCGCATCTATGACTTCATACCAATATCGTCATCTTCATCGCATAGAACGTGGTCTCTGTAGTACTTTGATTCTAAGTGTGAGTGTGCGCTGATAGGCACCGGTGGCTTTCGTATGGATCGTGAAATAGATCGAAAGCATATCGCACGAAATCGCTACAACGGTGTACTCTTCGTGATACCCGGTGTTGTGAGAGTTGGGCACATTCATGCCGTGGAGCAGTCGGAGCAATCAGCATCGAAATGAAGTTTACATAGCAATCACCTACACCATTTCGCACTCCATAAAAGCGGAGTGTCTGCATAAATTTCAGACTATTCTTCATTTGTCAAATTAAAAACCCGTTGAAAGAATCCCTCCAAAACAAACCGAAGCTTGGAGCCCCAGTAACACCCCAGCAACGACCAGCAACAACACCAGTGAACATGCAAGGTGCATGCGCCAGGCCACTGTGGCTGCGCGCAGACAACTATCCGGCTAATTCAAATGAAACGGCAACGGTGGCAGCAAGAGGAAACGAAACAGCTCTCTATCCCCGTGGACAAACTCCCTTCCACTTCACAGCAGCGGCACAGCACAGAGCCCTTCCCACGCAATCGCAAACCCAAACGGTCACGGGGTTTATTCTCAAAACGAAGCAACAGGAAAGAAAAAATCTCCAGACTTGGAAATTCAGCCAAACAGCTTAAATAGGATCCCCACAAATGAACCGTTCTAATGACCGAACCCCCGGCCACTTCAAAGCAAAGAAACTGGAAAGAAAAAATTTCCCAGACTTGGAATTCCAACCCAACAGCCTAAACCCAACCAACCCAATTAACCAACTAATTCAAGCAAGAGTACAGCGCCGCCCGCGAAGGAAAAAACGCAAAACTCATCACCAGCCCCTCAGGAGCGGGTCTTCCTCTGCAACACGTAGTAGATCACCGCCCTCGTGACGACCAGCAAGGACAGAAGGAAGGTCACCTCTGGCCAGACGCTGTCGTTGACGTCCGTGGGCAGGTTGAGCGCCTCCTTCAGGCTGTCCACAGGCACGCACTGCACCGGCCCGTCTGTGGCCTCTCCCAGGCCCCCGCAGTCCACGAAAGACCTGTCCCCAAACTCTATCTTGTTCAGCAGGCTGAAGCCCCACCACATGAAGCTGCCGTACTTTAGCCACCCCACCCAGTCAGGCACGTCCCTCACGTAGAAGCCTCCCACCAGCATCAGGCCGAGCATGAGCACGCTGGTGATGGTCTGGGCCTGCTGGACGTCCATCACAGCGGCTCCTATGAGCATGCCCAGGCTCTGGCCCACGAGGGTGACCAGCATGATGGACAGCCAGTTGGCGAAGAAGGCCCCCGCGGTGACCCTCAGGCCGGTGGACCAGTAGACGATTATGACGAAGAGCGTGGGGATGGTGCAGTCCATGGGCAGGTCGGAGAGCGTGCGGGCGATGTAGAAGGTGGACAGGCGGTACATGCCGCTGCGGCGCTCCTTGAGCATCATGTTGAAGTCGTTGGGGAAGGTGAAGAGGGCGCGGAACATGGCGTAGAAGGACATGAAGAGCATCTCGAAGAACAGGAGGCCGATGACGTCAGAGGCTGCCAACAGGGTGTCGTCGCCACCGACCTGCCACCACAAGATGCCTGGGGAAGGGCACAGACATCAATCAGAGCGCCTCTTGGTACTTAGCACAGTACTTGCTGCTGTTTGCTGCTGATCGGTGCATCTCCTTGTAGCTAATGCAATACTTGCAATAGCTTGGCAGCATGTTGGGTGCTACAAGCGCTGGCACACCAGCACACCGCAGGCCATCCGGAGAGAGGCCCATCGACCTGTCAGGGGCCTCACAGCAACCGGCACAGTATTGCTAAGACTTTGCAGTGCTTTAGATGCTCCACACATCAGATTGGAAATGCATCCAAGTATCAGGCAAACACGACTTGCGCACTCAAGGCGCTTCCCCAACAGTGTGCACTGAGGAATCGTTTTCATTCATAAACTGTCATTACCATTCTCCACATTACCGCAAGCACTATTATATTGTTGTCACTGATACCGTCATTGTTCAAATTGTTGCCACTATCACCATTGAGTACATCTCAACTGTTTGTTCTAACTGTTTTTAGCGAATCTCAACAACTTCTTTTAGCTTTCCGGTTCCAAGATCTGAAGAGCACGTCATCGTTCCCCGAGTCAAGATTGTGTAGATCTCGATCGATACATGATTCCAACGTTAGGTGACTCCCTTCAAGGGGGGCCAAGCTGGGTGCCCAAGCAGTGAATCAGCAGCTGCCTCACTAAGTGGCTGCCGAGGGAATGCTGCATCGCATCGCGGTCCTCCTGCCGAGAGTGCGGCCTCTCAGCAGCCACTCTCCAGTGAACCGCGAACATATGACATGAAGGAGCTCAGCTTCAATAACGGGATCACCGCGTGTCTGCGTCGTTTCCCTGCTCACCTGCGATCGCGGCGACCAGCAGCAGCCGCAGGTAGTTCTGCAGTCCAAGGGCGTCCGTGCGCCGAACCTTCACGCAACGCTGGAACAGAATGGCGATCTGGCCCCCGTAGCTGGCGCCCCACCGATCGGACTTCTTCACCGGCGAGTCGGCCTCCTCCAGAGGCTCCACGTTCCGTCCATCCGTGACCTTGACCTGTGCAGCGACATTTCCCTTATGCATGTTATTCTTACGTTTGTTTTCTAGAGCGTTTTGCTCACATGCCCTGCTAGCTTGTAAACAGAATCAACTGGGCTCTGGATCGAGAACAATGGAGATCCATCACGGCGATTTCCGTCCATCAATCACAAATGAGCATCAGGCGCATCAGCTGTACGCCTTGTCTTGTGTTGATCGGGGGGTGGGGGTGGGGTGGGGGGGTGTACCCAAATGGATGGGAGTCAAAGTGGCCACAAATCACATTGCAGTGTGGATACATTGACGAGATCTACAGCACATATGTATCACCAGCAGAAAATCGCCCATGTCGAAACGGCTTTCAACTGCGTTCAAGCCACGCCACAGTGGTGCCAAATCGGTCATCTCGACCGCGTTCTTGATACCACTTTCACAAGTGTTGTACGCAGCTCGCTACTGGAATTCACTTTGCTGCGCGCTGCAGGCGAGGGGCGCCATTTCAGTACCTGCAGGACGGCCGCGTCCTCGTCGAGGCTCTTGACGCTCGTCGGCAGGTCGGCGCCCTCAAGCTCGGACTCGCTCTGCAGGCCATTGGGGTGCGAGTCCCCAAAGTATCGGTACCTTGCGATGAGCCCCTCTCTGGCTTCGTCGTCGCGGCTGCACAGCCCCACAAATGTTCCCGATCAGCTTCTGGCATGTATTCTCTGATGATGACGATGATTGTGAGAACGAGAAAAATAAGCAGTTAGTTACAAGGGGAAGGTGATAAATATAGTGTCACTGAACACGGGGAACATGGTGTTGGAATACGGTGAAATGAACATGGGATACGGTGATTACCAACTGAGAACATTTACAGCAAGTGCCATTTGATTGGTGTATTTGATTGTCTGTCCTGTAACGGATCTGGTTGCGGTTTTGTTTCCCGTGCCTGGGAGCGACCGTGTGAGGACCTTCGGTTTTCGTTTCAACGACGATGAGGAAATTCCATTAATTACGTGTCAGCCACTGAAGGCAATGTCGCCATCCAACCGCACAAAAGCAGTGTGTCCACTGTTATGTGTTTTCTGGTGGTGAAGCAAACAGCAGCCTTCATGCAAGCGATCAGTGGCACCCGCAATGAGCTTCCCTTCCTTCAGCTCTCAGTTCTACTTTCAACTAATTTATTATTTTCGACCAATCTTGGGTCTCCATATTTCTGCCCATTTTCTTGCTAGGTGTTCACAAGGGCCAGTCCTCTCCTGCCAGAAGGACCCAGAATTGTACCCTCAAATTTGGCATTGCCCTTTGGAATCGAAAAACATTTCCCACTTTGAGATCGGAAACAGCCATCGCACGTTAAAATCGAAGATAAATATCGCAAGAATATCGCAATTGAAAATAAATATCGTACGTTCGGATCGAAACAAAACAGCAGCACACCTGCCATCGGCCAGCATGTCGCCGTTAGCCAAGTCCAAAATGTAGTCCGCGATGTTGACCCCATACGGGCACCTGTAGTGCAGCTTGCCGAACCACTCGATGGCAAGCTTTCCCGACCCGTAGTACATTGTGTGGCCCTCGCTCAGTAGCAGTACATTGTCCAGCTGCCTGTAGATGCGGCTGGAGGGCTGGTGGATGGTCGTCAGCACCGTGCGGCCGCCTTGCGCCAGCAGCCTCAGGGTCGTCAGCAGGTTCATGGCAGTGGTGGCGTCAAGGCCGCTGCAGCACCGGACAATGCAGCAATATGAGACTTCAATAAGATAGTTATGTATGCATGATACTTATGGCTTGTTATATTATTGAACTGGTATACTTTTGTACGTATTGATACTTATAACTGTGGATACTTATGTACTTCCTCCAGCACTAACTTAAATACCATGCCTTTGCACAAGCCGCTACCCAAAAGAGTGTCCGTGATATGTAGTACATACATCACGGACTGCAGTATATTATTCAGGAGCAGCCACTAAGCTTCCGCTGACAACACGAGCTATGTAGGACACATAGGAAAGACAATAGGATATAGTTGCAAGAAACGCATTCAGGGATCCGGCATGCGTCAAAGGCGCACAAAATGAGAGTCACATTGTGCGAGTACTCAGGCGGTCCGAATTTAGGACCTACCTTGTGGGCTCGTCTAGCAGTAGGAATGCGGGGTCGATCAGCAGCTCGTGCCCCACAGACACGCGCTTCCGCTCCCCGCCCGACACGCCTCTCATCATGAAGCCGCCTGCAGATGCAGAGTATCGCCCAGTGAGCGCGGCGCAGAAATTCCGGCAGCAAATTGGGAAGTTTTAGGCGAAGTAACATTGGTTCGAGTCGCTGAATACAGCCTTCCAGGCAAGCGCGGCTCTGTGCCAGTGCGCTAACATGGTGCCATGCGATCAAACCTTTGCTCGTGTTGCAGAAGTGGTGCAGCAGGAAACCGTTTGGAAAACAATCGGCCACAGATGAAGGTGAGTCCACTGAACCAGGCAGCAGCGATGCATACCCTGCACCCTTTAAGCAAATAAGGGCTGCAACGAGGTACCATAAATACGGACATAAAAGCCATTTTGCATAAAACGTGTGTTAATCCACCTGGCGAAACGTATCTAAGGATGCGGTCTGGCTTCATCAGTCGATGCCATCCACACCACCGAACGCGGTACAGATAGTGTTCTATGCCCATTTTTCCTTTTTCCTGCACTGGATATATCGCTGGCATACAACCCACCAATGACCTACAACGACCAATGATGAATAATGCATGATTGTCCAACGGTGAATGTGATCAGCCAATCCATACCGAGCGCTGTACAGCCCAAACTCCGAGCGGCATCCAGACTTTGTGGAACCACATCAGCCCAGTACTTAATTCAGTAGTGCGAGAGTGCTCCCAGAGCCGCACCTATGAGCGTGTCGCGGCACTTCGTGAGACCCAGGGTAGAGATGACGGATTCCACACGCTCCTTTTTTTCGAACCTGCGGGATAAATAAAATTGGTCACATTTTTTGCGCACAACCAAACAACACAGCGTACATTGCACCAGGCTTGTTATTTACATTCACCTTCACGTTTCTGCGCTTGCGTTTTTATTTGCAAAAACGTAAATTTGTAAAAGGGGCTATTTTTGCGGCTGTATTTATGTTTTGCGGCTGGTGGTGACATCCAGGTTACACGATGAAATTCACACAGCATGGTCAGCCCTCCGTCCCCTCGAACACCCGCAACATGGAGTCCACCTCGCCCTTGGCAAGGGCAACGATGGCAAGGAACAAAAGTTCGTTTTCTGCACATTCCAGCGCGCCTGGCTGCCGCCCCCTCATGCTTCCAAGTCTACATGTACTGTCCTAATGTACACGGGGCTGCGTCTACGTTGTATCTACGTATTCTTACCCACTCTCACCGGTAAAGCCGCAAAACTACTTTCCCACGCAAAATGTAAATACGGTCTGCGCTTGCGGCGTAAATAATAAGCCTGTACTGTACAGCTTCATCTTCAAGTACATTTTGATGCACGTATACTACCTTCGTTGTAATGCTCATCATTATAAGTAATGAAGTTACACACTTTGTATGTTTACGCACTTTGGCATATTTACCCCCAAGCAATTCATTTTATGATACCATGAGACACAACAAATGTTGATGCGTCAACCACCATATATACGTAATGGAGAAGATTTGGAGATCAGAATGGAGGAATGAGCGTATCTGTCACACTCAACGCGAAAATAGTGTTTCGTTTACTGACACACTTGTCACACTTGTCGTACCCGTCACAGCCGTCACACTTGTCAGGGCACACTAATATGGCAATGGCATGACGTTGTCACGCAATTCCCAAAAAATACTGTAGTGGTACAGTAGTCTAGCACAGTGGCACTGATCTCCACCAAAGGCATATCACAATTTTCAGCGGCGTTCAAGGACCTCTCAACGCCCGGGAAGCGAACGCCCCAGCGTCGCGTCACGCGGCGTCACGTGTGCAACGGCAGTTCCCACCTCGTCATGGTCTTGGGCAGTCGCAGCATGGCGGCAAAGTACAGGGTCTCCTCGACGGTCAGGGAGGCGTACATGAGATCGTCCTGCATGTGTGCAGTGTTGCTTCAAATTCGTTTATGCACCGCTGTGTAGAAGTAACAAATCATGCACGCATTTTTTGTGCACACATGGGAACAGAAAGCAAACCGCAAGGGTGGAGAGCAAAACCAGAAGAGTTGAGTGGCTTTCAGTGAAAAAGTGGCGCAACAAAGTGCTGTCGAATATGGAGTCTGGTGCAACCTGAGGCAAAAACTGTTGCAGATGAGTGCGCTCAGCAGTCAGGTGAGAGTACTTGGGCTTGGACATTGTGGCCAGAATGGCGTTCAGCGCAGCGTACTTGAGCGCTTTGGCCTTCCGCCAATCTATTCGAAGTGGCTTCTGGCTGGAGTTTGTGCAAGGACGTGCGCTGCTCAGACAAAGGCTAGGCCGCACCTGAAGAACAAAACCCACTCGCCTCTTCATCGCTTTGTCCAGTGGCTTGCCATTAAAAAGAATGTCCCCCTCAGCATCCATCAACCTGAGCCGTCGCCAGCAGATGATCAGCACGAACATACACACGTTTTTGGCATTACTAATGCTGCATTAGGCAGCTCACAAAACACGCCCTCGTATTGGTGAAAGGTGGGCTTGCCATGTTCTGACAAACGTTACAGAGGGGCTCCTCCACACGCGAGATGTGCAACATACATTCTTTCGTCACGCAATGTAATGTCTGCATATTTAATAACGCATTCAATAGCTCGGAATCGACAACAACAAGAGTTCAATGCATGCGCTGCCCACAGCCTGAAACGGCCCTGGGATTAATTGGCTGGCGCACTAGCACGGGATGTCAACGCCCAGCAAACAGCTAGGAAAGGATCCTACTGTACTTTGAGAGTTGCAGGGGAGTTCCCTCGTTCTTAGACATATGTAATACGTTTGGAATTAAAAAAAGCTAGCGCGTGTGGCAGGTACTTACTTTGGCTTCCTTCCGCCAAGAACAGAGATGAACGACGTCTTCCCAGATCCTGATGAAACCAAGGCAATGAAATGCACTTCAGGCTTGTCTTCATGCACCATTCACGCCAACATGCCGCAAACGCAGTGCTTTGACTTGTGCTTCTGTGGATACTGTTCATGCACTAGTCTCCCAGCACATACATTAGTATGTATACAGCAGCGCTTGCACGCATTTTTCATTCACAGGACAGGACCAGACACATAGAAAGGGCACAGGTCAGCGCTAGGGCCACAAACCTGAACAAACAATCCACATTCCAAGACTTTCTGAAATACTTTCGACTCTTCTCGATTGCAGTTTGACAGCTATGCAAGCAGGGTGGATGCAACAACAGTGGAGAATGCAACTGGGAGGCAAGGGGTCTGCAGTCTGACATAAGTGGACTGCACATGAGCACCTGTTGCACCATTCACAGCTGTGCAGCTGCATACACGATAGCTAGGTGGTGTGGAATCGCCAGTCCAGCTGAAATCCTGCAACGATGGTGAGACCATGTGCTCATCCCAACTGCCATTTCAGATTCTGGGGCTGCACAGGGATGCATTCCCAGGAACAGTTCCCAAACGTCTTGATAATATGCACATTTCCATTGTTCTGGATGACCAAAAGGCGGCCCAGGAACAAATGTCAGTGAGTCGCATTTCTGGACATACATCCAGATAAGCGGTTTGTGGATGATAATGTGTACATGCGGGAAATGTCCCACACCTGATGGTCCCATGAGCGCCAGCACTTCCCCTGGCGACACACTGCCGCAGATGTTGTACAGAATCTGCCAGAACATCAAGCACACATTTCAGCACAAAAGCAGTCAACCTCTTGCACAAATGCTGCACTGTACCACTTCAGACTGCAACAGGCACTAGTCCTCTTGTGGGGTTTATGGAACTATGAGCTTGGGACAGTAATCAACACTGACTGATGTTTCTGTCCCCGTCCCCGCCTGCAAGGCGCAAGGGCTCTGACCGTTTGATATGTTTTAAAAGCAACCCAAACTACCAAATATCCCAGTTGGCCAAAGGCTTGCAAGTGCTGCGTGTGACATTTCACAGCTCATAACTGCAGAAGTGGCAAGGATCTGCCTTCCAAAAACGCAACAGAGCAGCAATATTTGGCACTCTCGACATGGATCACTATGGGGGCACACTCTCCTCTGCGTCAGCATTTAGGCAGGTTATATCTGTCCATCTGATATCTGAATATTTCGGTGTGAACTACTCGGGGGCAGTGCGATGGGGCGAAAAATGGCAAGATCGGCTCACAAAACACTTATGGCGCCCTGTGCTCCACATGGTCGTGGCCCCATCGCCGATGTCAGTTCGCTGTTGTATGTTGACCATTGTAATCAGTTTCAAACAATGATATTGTTAACGCAGTGCCCTTCAGCCAGGCGGGGCAATGGCCAGCCTTTAACTGCAGAAAGGTCAGCAGAAAGCACGACCCAACCATGTTTGCATCGCCTGGCAATTATCGGTGCAATCCTTCAGATCCTTTCAGTTAACGACCAGGCCTTTGAGCTTGGCTGCTGCTGCTGTGTCCAATGTTTCACCCATATGTTGCAAGTCAACCTGCAATGCAAGGGGAGTGCACTTCTGTTGAGCCTGGGGTCTATTGTAAATTGAGCACAACATCGACTAATCAAGAACCAAACAGAACAGTTTGCGAGTAGGTACGTTCGGCCCATCGACATTTCGCGGCCCCAGGTACCCCGCGGCTCTTGCAACAATCCCGGCACTTTCCAGGAAAACCGTCATTTCGGCTGCGGTCCAGGCTGGTGGCCTTGGCCTCCGCGAGGCTTCAGCGGGCCAATGGAGGCGCTCTGATCGCCCCTGGCCAGATGGCTGTCATCCCAAATCCGCTCCACAGTCCCTGGACCCCCGGTCGGCGGCCCGTCCGGGCGCCTCGCTTCTCGTCCGCTCTAAGAACATGGTCGGCATAATGCCCAACAAATAATTGCCGCTTACGTGGGACAGTAACAGCAACCGCCGCGCGGGCGCGCAGTCGCAGGCCACCGATGCGCTTCCGTCGCGCTGCCAGGAGGCGATCAATCCCCACAGCGGAGGGCGCCGCCCTCGGGCGTACCTTTAGCACGCCGCGGCGCCCGCGCTCGCTGCCGTCACCTTTCAATCATTATGTCATACGCCGGCGGCCTTCGTCAACATGCGCCCCGACTCGATTGCTCATCGCCGCCCCGCAAGAGCGGAGCCCGGGGAAGAGACATGGGGCCTCGCGCAGTCCCAGAAGTTGCGGAACGCCCGAGGAAGCCGGCCCGGCGGTCCGTCGCTGTGCACCGCGCTCGAAGGAGCGGCGAGCATTTGGATAGGGATGCGCGCCGCCGCGGCGCCAGCGCTGCGGGAAAAAGCGGAGCTCTCCGGACGCGGTTGTGGGGCAAATCGTCGCGCTCGGCCGCTCCGGAGGCGGGCGATGCCTCCCGCAATGCAGCGCACCGCTCGGGCCTGCCGACCGTCCATTCCCATTGTTGCAAACTGGCACCCCCGCCAAATCCTATCCTCACCCCCGGGGTCTTTGCGACTCCACACCACCTTAACTCCGCGAGTAATCCCGCTCAATTTCCAGCCATCTCCCCACCTGTCTCTTGGCGGTCGCCGACGCCCCGCCCCCCTTCCCGCCGGCCACCGCGCTCCTCACCCGCCTCCGCAGCGCACCTCCCATCCCGGGCATCTGAAACGTTGCCGGCACCCAGCCGCTGACCCCCCTGAAATCCACTCCCACGCGCGCCTCCTCCGGTATGGCATGCAGCAGCGAGCTCTGCCCGCCTCGCTTCTCGAGCATATGCGCGCTGGGCTCCACGCCCTCCCCCTTGGGGGTTTCTTGTTCCGCCGATCCGCGGAACGCCTCGACAGACACCCGGATGCCGCGCTCAATGGATGCGCGAAAGGTCGAGGCCTTCTCGCCCTGCCCGCCACCCCCGCCCGCCGCACCGGCATAGCTGCCATCTTCGTCCGGCTGTGTGCGACTGGCGCCCATCTCTTCCGGTCGCTCAGGGCCCCAAGGCCGCTTCTGACCGACGCTGGGTACCCCGATTCCGTCGGTGTGGTCCGGAAGCTCGTTTCGGAAGGCCCGCTGCGAGCACCGGCGGCCTTTGGATCGACGGGGAGAGCGGCAGGGACTCCTGCTGGCTTCTGGAGGGGGAAGATATAGGCAGTGCTGCGCCCAGAAGTGGGTTGGATGGTTGGCAGCAGTTTTTTGGCAAGGGGGGAGCCACTCATCGGGTGATGACGCTCCAATTTCGTTTCCCGCGTGTGCGTTTGTCGCTCGCGGGTAAGGTTTACGTACGACGTGTGGGCTGCGGCCCGGCATTTCGGGGGCGTGGGGAGGTCAGCGCGGCCGCTTACGGTTTCGTTTCTTTTGTAGTCAGAGGCAGTCGAGAACCCGCTTCGCTGTTCTGGATTCAGTACACTCAGCGCTTAGTGGGCGCTGAGAGATTACGCAATACAATAGAGCCAAGACAAGGTAAGTAATGGCCGAAACTCCGGTCAGTACTTTGCGACACAGCGACAGCGCAGTACCTTGCGACATTGCAGTACGCACACTAGCCCTTGAATCATTTGGACACCAAATTAGTACTCTGGTGCGAGCTTTAGGTTACGCTGATTGTAACGCACCAAGAATTCGGTGTCTGTGCACAGGCCAGGTTGTCGGCAACTTTTGTGGGCTTGGCCGGCCTTTGGTCGCTGCGAACAGAGAAGGAGAGGTGCCGGCATCACAAGGGAGTGGACGGTTGATGAGGTGGCAGTTCTTTGGAGCGCACCAATGTCGGCAGGGATGAGGTAAGGCCCCAGCACAGCTATGCACGTGTCCAACAAAAACCAACAATGCGCATTACACAACCGTGTTCACAAACACGTTGTTGTGCACTTCTGTGCATATAACCATCCTGTCAAATCTGCTACACCTGGACCTGTTCTGCCCGCTACCTAAATGCATCCCGTCAATCTGCATTCGCATGGCGCCCGGCTCTCGCTGTTGAGCTCCTCTTCGGGGCCATCGTCATCCAGTGCTGCCTGCGTGGGTATGGCCAACGGCGCCACGGACAAGGCAGATGTGGGAAAAATTGCCTAGCCCATGCCACCATTGACCCTGCTACTGAGTGTCAGATGGGAACTCAGCAAGGGCGGTGGGGAAAAGGCGGATGCCAATGCAGCTGGGTGGGGTGGTGCGTACAGCGGGGGGCCGGGGTACATATGGGGTTTATGGGGTGGGGGTTGGGGCGTTGTAATCCGGGTAGGGAGGGGGAGGGGGAGGAAACATATGATAACCGTCAGTCATAGGGTATGCGCACGTCGGGGGCAATGGATATGTATATGTGTGTGGGTGGGTGGGTGGGTGGGTGGGGGACATAGGCTGGGGGAGGGGGTGGAGGGGGGGACAGACGTAACCGGGTGGAGATGGTGGAGGCGGAGGAGCCGTGCCCGGGAGGGCAAGATGGTCGAGAGAAATGTGCCAGGCGTTGTGCCTATTGCACTGTGCGGAGGTTGTTGCACAAATTGGTCGTGGCCAAATTGCGGAACTTGCATTCGGTTGTCGGACTTGGGGATATGCACCTCTTCACGCGCTGTGCACTGTCTTGCACTTCTGCTTCCTCCGCTAGATCTGCGTTTGGTGGCTTGGCCTGTCTACCCATGACCATCATTACGGCTTCTTGGGCCTGGACTTGTTGGTCACTAGGCATGTTGTTGTAGGGCTTCATAGACTTTGGGTCTTTCCAAAACCCTACAGAGGCAAACGTCTTTGCATTCAAGTGCCTACAACGCTTTTCATTGAATTCGATCATCACAGTGGCCATATTCCCAGAGCATGACTGTCGACAGGACTTACCTTACTCGCGCCCTGCCTCTCTGCAAACTCGATGTTTGCCGGTTTCTGTCGCCGTAGTCTTGTGACCACTTTTGGCTGTGTGGTTTGTCTTCTTGCCATCCTAGCTGAAGAGATGGCCCCAAATGTCCCTGATGATGTTCTTGCCCAGAACTTTCCTTGTTTGCCTGGTACCTGTGGCGGTGCAACACCGAAAGCACCATAATCTCGTGGCAAGCACCTTGTCGTACCCGACTGGCCGCTGGGCCTCCCTCCGGGTGGCCTGCAATGCGTTTGTAACATCAAACATCCTGCCAACCTACTGCAAGTATTGCATTAATTACTAGAGGTGTACCGAATGCTACAAAGCGCCGGCAAGTACTGTGTTAAGTATCAGGAGGCGCTCTCACTGATATATATGCTTTCCCAGGCATCCGGTGGTGGCAGGTACGCGGCGGCGACGCCCTTCTGGCCGCGTCCGACGTCACCGGCCTCCTGTTCTTCTAAATGATCTTCATTTCCTTCTACGCCATGTTCCGCGCCCTCTTCACCTTCCCCAGCGACTTCAACATGATGCTCAAGGAGCGCCGCGGCGGCATGTACCGCCTGTCCACCTTCTACGTCGCCCGCACGCTCTCCGACCTGCCCATGGACTGCACCATCCCCACGCTCTTCGTCACTACCGTCTACTTTTCCACCGGTGTGCGCGTTGCCCGGTGGTCTTCTTCGTGAACTGGCTGTCCATCATGCTGCTCACCCTCGTGGGGCAGAGCTTAGGCATGCTTACAGGGGCGGGCGTAATGGACATCAGGCAGGCCCAGACCATCAGCAACTTACTCATGATAGCCCTGCTATCATGCTGGCGGGAGGCTTCAACGTAAGGTACGTGCCTGACTGTGTGGGGTGGCTAAAGTACTTCAGCTTCGTGTGGTGGGGCTTCAGCCTGCTGTGCAAGATAGAGTTTGGGGACAGGTCTTCCGTGGCCTGTGGTGGGCTGGGGGAGGCCGAGGAGTGGAGGGGGGAGGCCATGGAAGGGGCGGTCGAGTGCGTTCCCGTGCGCACCCTCAAGGAGGCGCTCAACCTGCCCACGGACGTCAACTGCAGCGCCTGGCCAGAGGTGACCTTACTGCTGTCGCTGCTGGTCGCCACGAGGGGGGTTGATTTACCGCGTGCTGCAGAAGAAGACCCGCTCCTGAGGCGCTGGTGCTTTGTTCTAGTTGTGCCTGAGTTGAGGGGTTGTTCGGGCTGCTGTCGCCGGAACAGTTTCCCTCAAAAGCCTCGTCCTTTAGCTGTTGGGTTCAAGCAACAGTAAAGGTATTTCCTTGCACGTGGCCCTGGCGGCCTGTCACCGTACCGCCTGCATGTCTGGTGCAAGAGAGTATGGCTTAGGCGGCTGCTGTCATCTTGTTCTAGAGGAACTCGTTCGAGGGCGTGTTTTATTCGACAAAGAAACAACGCCCCGGAACTTGCGAAGGCACTCAGTGTGTGTGAAATGGTGATGCAAACTCCATGTCAGTTGTTGCCCTGAATGTTCCAAGGCATGGACATGCGCCTGTGGTAGCCACGCTACAGTACATTTCTGTATTTCGACGACCAAGTTTCGACCGGTGCCCAAATTTTATGGAAGCAATAGGAGAATTGTGCACAATAGTGCGCTGCTCGAGACGGCGCGCCTTCAACAATTTCTCCACTGGCCAGTCTGTGGCGTCATAAACGCTGCTCACTTCTCTCGGTTCCTTGTTCCAGTGGCTGTAGATTGCACAACTGCACAGTTGGGCAATGACATTTTCCACTGTGACTCCATTCAACGTAATACAATATAGCATATACGGCCAGAAGAGGCAGCCTGAGAGTGGAGCAGGTAGTGGTGGCCTGAAGGCCACCGCAAAAGATTGAGCGGTTACGTCCGTTGAACGCTTTCTCAGTGGCCATTTACCACAATAGGAGCGTCATGTGTGAAGACAACGGTAATGTTGCCAGCCTGTCGTCTGCCACGGCGCCTGCAACCGGCCAGGATGTCACTGCTCCGCAGCTGCGCTTCCAACGGTAACGAGGAGGGAAATTGGCGCACACAATCGCCAAGTAAGAAAGAGGAACGTCTGAAACAATCACGAATTGTGGACGTAAATTTCCAAGACATGGCCACATGCTAAATATGCACATCCAGGTTGTGGGGCCTATACATTATCCGCATATCTATATCTGGCCACCATATCCCGAATATAGCGCTTCCATATCCAGGTTACAGTGCTCGGATTTGCTCGATGTCCATGATCAGAAACATTTTCGCCGATGAAATGGATGCTCCTCGAGGCCCGCTCAAGTCACATCCATTTTCTTTTGGTGCCTCTCGTGGGCACACCTTACCCACAAACCTAAAAACGTCCAACCCAGCCCACGGGCAACTTAAACATGCACTCCCATCAATCCCATCGATTCCTGTTCGTCTGATTAGGTTCTTTATATTTCCCATCTCCCACATGCACCACGCTTCTGTCGGCATCCCTTGCAGTCCCTTTGCATCCCCAATAGTTGCTCAACAGCTTTCAATTATAGGTCCGGCACTACAGCCCTAGCGCCTGCGACAGTGAGGACGTCCGGCACACCCCATCGCCCGCAGCCCTTTGTTGCCCCAGTCGGTGTTCAACAGGTCTAGTTTCATGTTCCGCACCTCTTTCAACTGCCCCGGCCCCAAACCCCCTTTGGTGTTCAACAGGCTTGACATTTATGATCCCCACATCTATAGCTCCCCCAGCCCCCACAACCTGTAGCTGGCACACATACCACAGCTCTGTTGAACAGTTCCTCTATCGAACTGTATCCACTGTTGGTGAATGGACTCGAATTCCATGTTCCCCAAACCTCACAAGATGAGCTGTGATCACAACTTCCACATAAACCACACTTTGCACAGCTCACACAGGCCCAAGGATTCCATCGAATAGCGCCTGGTACGAATCCCAGCCCCACGGCACCAGCGCCTCCAACGGTGCATTCCTAAGGGTGAAGTGCTCGTCACCCATTTCATCCCAAGTCATGGCAAAAGAAGGCAGTCTTGGCACCGCTGGGCAATGTCACACGTGCAGTCGACGCGCGGCACTGACATTAACACGTGCACCACGCACCACACAGTGATGCGCAGTCCACCACTCTGAAGAACTGCTCGCCATCCATGCTGAAGCACGCAAGCAAGCCGTTTGGCCCAGCCCACAAGCAGCTGAGCCAACGGAACCAATTGCAAATCTTCAAGGTTGTTGTGAAACAAGTCTCCAAGGGAACCAAATTAAATCTCTACCTGCTTGGCCAACTGCCAAGAGGCAAGCTGGTGATCGTTTCCACCGAATTGCCCAAAGAAACCCCCGAGAAGCAAAATAAACTTCGTTTGCATCGAGAGCCGTGGTTCCAACCCACAGCTCGTTCATTCATGAATTACCGCTGCTGTTTGCTCTCCTTTTTTGCATTCATCAGCAGCCACAAGCCACAGGACAGAGCACTCAGCGCCGAGGAAAAACAACGCATTTTTTCTGCCAAGGAAATGCATGCAGCATACCCCAACTTAGCAACGGCGCTAACTGACGTCACTGACGTCACATTGTGGAAAAAAGCCACAGCAAAAGAAATACAGCCGCCGAGCAATCCCCACTGCCCTGCTCCTACAACCAGGAGACTTGGCGCCTCTCTTACCCAATTCCAACCCCATCCACACAGAGCACCCTTGCACTCTTGAAACAACCCCTGTCACTAAAAAACCCACACCCTAGGACATTTTAAACTCAGGGAAGGTTGGCCAGCGCATGCTTCCCTTGTGTTCCAACCAACCCTACTGAAGGCAGTCAGACCCCGCTTTGCCTCATTCAGGCTGTCCAAACTGACAAGGACGGATCCGAACTCCGATCTGTAACAGGTCAGGTCTCTGGCCCTGAGCAATAGCCGCACCAACATGGTGCTCACGCCATTGTCTTCCTTCTGAGCACCTCGTAGATCATCCACCTCATGATCACCAAGCTGGCGAAAAGGAACACCAGCTCTGGCCACACCGACTTGTCCACGTCTGTGGGCAGGTTCAGCGCATCCTGCAGGTCGTCCACCGGCACGCAGCCATCCACCTCCGCCACGCCCAGATCTCCACAGTCCACAAAACTCCTGCCCCCGAACTCAATCTTGTTGAGCAGGCTGAACCCCCACCAGATGAAGCTCCCATACTTCAGCCAGTCGATCCAGCTTGGCACCTCCCGCACGAAGAACCCCCCGACAAGCATCAGCCCCAGCATCAGGACGGTGGCCACGGTCTGGGCCTTCTGCACATCCATCACACTCGCGCCGATCAGCATGCCAACGGACTGCCCCACCAGTGTGAGGAGCATGACCCCAAGCCAGTTGCCGAAGAATGCGCCGGCAGATATCCTCAGGCCGGTGGACCAGTAGATCACGAAGACGAACAGGGAGGGTATGGTGAGGTCCATGGGCAAGTCGGCAGCCGTGCGGGCGATGTAGTAGGTGGACAGGCGGTACATGCCGCTGCTGCGCTCCTTGAGCATCATGTTGAAGTCGGCGGGGAAGGTGAAGACGGAGGCGAAGAGGGCCATGAGGGAGACGAAGAGCTGCTCAAAGAAGAGTAGGCCGACGGTGTCTGAGGCGGACTTGAGGGTGGCTTCGCCGCCCACTTGCCACCACAGACCAGCTGCAGAGGACACAGAGGCGGTCTCTGGTCATTTGGCGGCCCTTTTGCTGAAAGCAGTGGTTTAAAGGAAACGAGAACTACAGTGGTACATTCAACCCTTCCGCACAATAAAGTAATGCTTGGCCTTTTTTTCAGAGATAGTAAAATAAATATTGCTCTCTTCAAATTTTTTGCAGAGCAACATTAAGAAACAAAAATAGCATCTCTGAAACAATCATGAAGGGCAAAAAGCGTTATGGTAAAATTGTTTGATTTGTAAAGTTTAATATACTACAGCAAACTGTGAGGCTTCAGTGGGATGGATGAATTTGCTCAAGTCACACCACAATCGCAGCGAGCGCTGGCTGCTGATGCAAAGAGCCTCAATTTGAGTGCATGGAGTGGAACTGCAATTCAAAGGTACGATGCATCTGCTTTTCAGTGCCGCTTGTCACCAGGGTCCTGGCAGTTACTGTGATGCTCTTGGACAAGAGAACACGAGCCAACATGCCATACCTGCTATGATGGCAGTTAGCAGCAGTCTCAAATACTGCTGCAGCCCCAGCGACTCTGACCTCCTGATCTTGATGCACCGCTCAAACAGGATGGTCACCTGTCCCCAGTAGGTGGCGCCCCACCGGTCTCCCTTGGTACCAGATACGTCCATCTGCACCAGCACCAAAAAAATAATGGCACACCAATTCAGCCACACGTGCTGTCAGTTCAGAGATTGTTATGTCAGCATTATAGTGCTTTGCAACCTGTAGTGTTTTGACACTTTGTGACGCTCGGTCGTTCAACAATCTGGCCATGCCATACAGCGGCGAACCAGTCCTCCACCCCATCCATGCAATGCGGCTATTATGCGTATATTGCAGGAATTAGCGAGTACACTATACTATATACTATCCAAGCACCAAAGTACTTTGTGACGTCTCCCAGTGCTTGACACCTGCATTATTGCATTTTCTGCTCATCTGGTGGAAGCACCTGCAGCTGCATTGACCTCCGTCCGCCAACGTCCTCTGGGAGCACCTGTGCCTCATCAGCCCCCTCCTGTTCCAACTCTGCCAGTGACTGCAAGCCTTCCTTGTGGCTGATGCCAAAGTGCTCATATCTGGCGACGATTTGGTCCTTCATGGCGTCATCTTTCCTGAGCCCCAGCAGTGAAATGACAATTGATCAAGGACGCAAAACAATTTGGTGGATTGCATTGTGTGACAAAGGTACAACAACGTGGAGCTTTTGTTGCAAGGCAAGGCCATGATAAACAACAAACAAAGACTGGTCATCCCATTTGCAGAAGGTGACAATCTAATTCACAAAGACTGCACATCATATAGAAAGTCATGCTAATTGTTGCCAGTGCTTACGTTGCTGCTGCTTATTCTATGTGCTTGCCACTGTCAAATTGTAGAAAAGCGAATGAAGTCGTTGCCAGTGTCATCATTTCAACCACTAGCGACCCCCCACCCCCCACACCCACCACCCCAAACACACACCTGCCCTCAGCATCCATTTCACCGTTGGCCAGATCAAGCATGTAGTCGGCGATGTTGACACCATATGGGCACGAGCACCCCACGTGCTTGAACCACTCGATCGCCAACTTGCCCGACCCATAGTACATTATGTGGCCCTCGCTCAGCAGCAGCACATTGTCCAGCTGTCTGTACAGCCGGCTTGAAGGCTGGTGGATGGTCGTCAGCACTGCACGGCCGCCCTCCGCGAGCTGACGCAGGGTCGTCATGAGGTGCATGGCTGTGGTGGCATCCAACCCACTGCAGCAACAGTCGGCAAAATACTGAGCAAAGGCCTCCCAATTGTGCTGCTCAAGCACTGGGGTGGCAGCACATCTGCCTGCTGCAGTGGCCACAAGGGATTGTCAATCACAATCAGCTGCAGTCGAAGTTCGTTAATGGTTGCATGTGGCAGCCGCAGGCGAGTTTCAGATCTCGTTCTTTGCAGCTGTGAGAAGTCCAGCTGATCTTCTTGCACTGTGTTTCTATTCCTTTGGGCTGTGGCTGCACATTTGGAGCCAAGCCAGGCAGTATGCCAGGCGTATGCCTAGGCCCTTTCCCGATGCATTCTTTCCTAATATTCTTTTTCTGTGAATAGGCAGTTACAAAACAACACTAAACATTGATGTGCCGTCAGGCACAGTAGATATAACACTTACAGATCAGCGTTTTGGCTGTGCACAAGAGCTAATTCAACCCTGTTTATGGCATTCACCATTTAGTAATTAAAAATGTATGGTTAAGTTAAATCTCGACAATATTTTCAATCCACAAAGTTTAAAAACCCCATTTCACCAGCCTGAACTGCCCCTCTCATGCCTGTCATTTTTTGGACTGGTGAGTGGTGCGTCCTCAATTCAGGCGGATACACAATCGGGGTCAATTCTGCAGAGTGGACTGGCCGTCTGTCTGTACATGGACTTTAGGGCCTACCTTGTGGGCTCATCCAGCAATATGAACGCAGGGTCGATCAACAGCTCGTGTCCCACAGATACACGCTTCCGCTCACCACCAGACACACCCCGCACCATAAAACCACCTGCAGATGCCAAAGCACAGACCACAGAGCCGTCGAGTGCCTTCTGATTATCCAACCATGCATCTGTTTGTCATTTGTTCACTTCCTCTATCCTACTTTATTCATCCACACACCCGCACTTGTTGCAGGCACAATACATGCCACCATGTCTGTGGAAACCTGGCCGCCATCACCTTCTGGCTTAGTCCCATTTTCAAGGTCACTGATAATGACTTTCCACAGGAGCAGGCGAATCCGGATTTTCAAATCTCTTAATTCGAGTTCGTCTCTAAGCACTCGAGTTCACTTCCCTGGGCGTCGTCCTTGTTCCTAAACTCCACGACTACGTTTTCAAATTACAAGACACATCATTGTGATCAGGTCTGCCAAAGCACAGGTGGACTCCGTGCTCGGCCCATAAAGCAGCCAAGCACTGAGGAACTGCCAGATTAGCAGCAAGCCTTTGGCCACAAGGTTGCTGTGTACCTATCAGAGTGCCACGGCACTTCTCGATGCCGAGGGAGGCAATCACAGTTTCGACGCGGCTTTTCTTCTCTTCTCTGCAGTATCATGAACATAAAGAACATATCAATATGAAACTCACATACTTCATACCAAAATAAGTTGAGATATGAAAAGAATCGAAAATAAGGCAGGCTGAGCAGGGAAGTCGAGTGGTGGATGCAAGTCATTTTGCTGCAATTGCTTGGTGTACGCCAATGGACAAAGTGTCAACGATGCAGGTACCACAGTACATGTCTCAACTGAAAAGATTCTCGCCTTGCACCAGCAGCGGGACGTGCTGGGCGTAAACATTGACACACACAAAAGTGCGGACACCGTAAGCACCAGACTTTGACATGAAACCCATCCGCACACTCTAAAGATGCACACAAGCGTGGGTACAGGGCGCCCAACGGCGTGTCCATTCCATTTGATATGACACAGACATCCGGATGACGAACTGTATATCCACGGTCCATCTAAGGAGATTGGTACTGCGGTACTTGCCAAAAGCTCAACAAATTCCAATCTCAACTTATTATTTGCAACTCTTTTTAATATATGCCATCTGCCAGATGTGACAAAGCAACAGCTGCACCTATCAGTCTCTGCAACTCGCCATTCACATCAAGGAGTGGGTTTCTGTCGATTCAGGAACCGCCGCAAACCAGTGAACATAAACAAGGTCAGGGAACAAACACAAAACGGACAAGAGGCAAAAAGTGGCATCAAAGGGCCACACTCACCTGGTCATCGACTTTGGCAGCCGCAGCATGGCTGCATAGTACAGTGTCTCCTCAACTGTCAAGGTTTCAAACATCAGATCATCCTGCAGAAACCACAGCAGGGACATCAGATACAAAGCTCATGCACAGCACAGCTGTTGGGAATGCCAACTGGGCAGCCACCGGATCAGCCCAAACAACAACTTCACAACACACAACACCTCACTGCAGGACCAGTGCCTGCAGTCGAGAATAGTGCAGCAACAGAAGAGCCAGAGGGCAGTTCTGTATTGCTGAAAACAATCAAAGTTCAAAACATGGAAGCGAGTGCTAAACCCAAGTCCTTAACCTGAACTAACTGCTACACCACACCTTGGATACAAAGCAATCACCCTTTGACACTGAGCACAGCCCTCACTGTGAGGCATCCCTGGTGGGAGTGTCCTACCTGGAGGACGAACCCCACACGCCTCTTCATGGCCTTGTCCAGCGGTTTCCCATTGAAAAGCATCTCACCCTCAGCCTCCATCGCCCTGGTGCCAGTGCCCACAGGACAGGATTTTACCAAGGCAGGGGTCACAGGACAGGTTATTGCCAATATTGGGCCACAGAACAGGAGGATGCCATGGCGGGCCCCACAGGACAAGGCAGCGACACCACCAGGACGGGGCTCACGGTGGTGGCAACTTCAACAGGACAGGCTCCAGGGCAGCTGTGTCTCTGAAACAGTGTGTGCAGTGTGACAGCGCCCACAGGGCAAAGGTCAGGACGATGTCATTTGCTGACAGGCTTGCTATAAAGTTCTCAGCAGAGTTGCCAGTGGAACTTCGCGGAGAAGTTTGCCGCAGGTCTGCAGCACGAAAAGCAGCCACACAATGGGAAGCCGCCCCAGTTCCTCATTCCAAGGCCATGCATGCTCTTGTTGTGAATGGAGCACATACAAGAAAGGGAAGCTGAACGGCAGCTCAGAAGGGTCATGCTCCAGTTCTTTGCCATGGCAAGTTGCTTGGCAATGTAGATTGAACTTTGACAAAAGCTGCCAAAACGGACTAAAAAACATCTGCAGTGTGTCTACAATCATCTGGTCAGCATGCCCATGCAGCAGTTGGGGACCAAGCACCATTCACAGCAGAGCAAGTCTGTGCCAAGTGTTTCCTCACGCTGGCTTCCTTCCTCCCAAGACCGAAATGAACGATGTCTTCCCCGATCCTGCACAGCAGTGATGTCACAGCAACTTAAGGCCACATCGCAAATGACAAAAGCATCAGACAGTGCGGGAACAACACCTTGTCACACTCCTTCAAGCGTCACGGATGCAGAACATAAGTACCGTGTGCTTTGGTTCTATACCACTTTGCCTAAAAGAAGTCTCCTTGTGGATGCCAACAGTTGGAAAAATTGCTCGACAGCTGCAAGGGCGTTGTTTTGTTGACACAACGAAGCTATATTGCTGTCATTACAGAGCGAAAAACAAATGTGCAGAAACCCCGCATGGGTACAAGGTGCAAGGACCCCACAGATAACAATGGCAAATGTCATTTGCCATCATGCTTTTGGGCGTTCTTCCACGATGCTGGTAAAGGTGTCAAAGTAGGGGCTGTATGGAAGAATGCACTGCCCAGCAGGCCATGGTGTCATGTTGCTGCTTGGTGTTTTGGAATGATACAAACTGAAGCAATTAGCATCTAGCTGAAACAAGGACGACCAACAGCTCAAGGGTAAAACATGACAACGACTTTGGGCCAAGGAAAATATACGGCCACGCTATTCCATGAATGCAACATTCATTCACAAGTGACAAATCACTGTCCTTTGATAGGTCCAAGGCACCTGTCCAGGAGCATGGGTACAATGTCAAAGTGCTAGGCTGTGTGGTTGTTTGGCAATGGGCCCAGAAGGTATTTAACAATGCCCAGGATCTGAACCAGTTTCTGGGACTCTGCAAGCAGAGACATGTTCTGCAGGCACGTTCATTTTCTTCCTTCAAGCAGAGTTTGTGTGCGTTGCAGGAGACTGGTGTGTAGAGAAGATACAATAGTATGTAATGTAGCTACAATAACAACAATCCTGTTAAGAATGACAATCATCGAACAATAGAGTAACAAGGCTCAGAGCGAATTTCTGGATATACACATAAGTGTTATCGCATGCACAGTGCAGATGCTCTGCAAGAACTCGTAATGGCAGATTTATGCAAAGGATTTCAGTACACACCTGAAGGGCCCATCAGCGCCAACACTTCTCCCGGTGAGACACCGCCACAAATATTGTGCAAAATCTGCAACCACAACACCGCAAACTTTGACCAGAGGCCACCACATACTGCACGAGCCAGGTATTTCAACAGCTGAAGGCTGCTAAATGGCTGCTGGTGGTACAGTGATGGAGGTAGGGTGCAGATCAACAATCCACTGCAGGACCAGGCCTGTTGCAGTCTGCGGTCTTCTCCAAACATGTCTACTGCCTATTACAGGACAAGCGAGTACTGCACAGGATGCACTATTTTAGGGCAGTTGTAAGCAACAGCCAGAACTACTGTAGCAATTTTCCCACCTCTTGTACCTTTCCTTTGTCCCATAATATGACATAACAAGAGAGTCCAGGAGCCGCCATTTCTGAATCTGAGAAAGGCCACATCTGCTCTAAAGGGAGTGCCTTCCAAAGCGTCGCAGTCACGCCGGGCTGCACGTCGGAGTCGGCGAACGATACGGAGATAAGGGGCCCCTATCATGGCCGCATGCGGCTTGACGCCAACAGAAGAATAAGGACAGATCGAACAACGCCGCACCGCAGAAACGCCTTCGCGGCAACCGGCGATGCTGCTTCAGTGCTGTTGGGCGCTGCCAGTGAGCACCGTCACTGAGCACTGTCGGTCTGGACTGTGGTTAAGCAAGCCTTAGTCAAGGACAGGCCTTGCACCACTCCGCACGACGGGCGCTCGTTCAGTCCGGACACTGCACAAGCGGCTGCGACATCGAAACGGGCGCGCAGACGCTTGACGACTTCCGCCAGGGGCACGCGCGCCAATGCGCTCAGCAGTCGCGGTGGTGGGGGGGGACCGCCGAGGCGGACCCAGCACGACTCAATAACGCCGAGAGGTCCTCGCAGCGACCCCAGATTTGCTGGTGGCGTGACAAAAATGATGCGGTGAAGAGCGCTCGCCACACACACCCACAGTGGTGATTGCAGACAGACCGGGAGCTACCTGCACACTTGCATACAGATGCGGCGGGTAGCATCCATTTCCGCACGCTTCAAAGACAACTGGGTCGAAACAAGTCACCTTTCGCACCGATGCTATTGTCAAATGCAGAAAGTGTCGATTCCTCCTGTGGTTCGGCTCGGTGCTCTTGGGCAACAGCCGCGAGCGAGCCCTCGACTTGCGGCAGAAACGCGGCTGCGCTATTTCGACGACTGACCGCCATTGCCGACTAGGCTTCGGCCTCACGCAGATCTGGAATCCGGGAAGACTCCGCTTCAACGGCGTCCCAGCGCATAACTTCTCAACATCAGCATTTTTCCCGAAGCGACGCTCACCGACGCTTTGGCCAGGTCGGGAAGCGTGCGGCGTGGCCAGCGGGCGAACAGCGCGGGGGTTGAGGTGGGTGGTGGGTGGGGAGATCCCCTCTTTCGTGCCGCGCATGCGGGAAGTCCCATCGGAGCTCGCCAGCCCGCGGCCCCTCACGAGAGGCATGGAAGACGCCAATGCGTTGTCGAAATGCGCAGCCCGACTGGCGCGATTCGGAGCTCTGCCCGCCGCCGCACGGGAGGCCAACGCAGCTAGATCCGTCAATCCCCGCCGCGGGGATCTCCGCGTGCCAATCCCCATCCCTCCCAGGTCCGTCGATCGCTTTCGCCCCTCCGTGCGCACCCGCGGAGTCTACTTTTCCGCACAACACCCTCCCGCGGTTCTCTTTTCTCCGCGGGGATGGACGCGACGCGGGCATGTCGGGATCCTTCGGACCGTCGACACAAGCTCGAGGCGCCGAGAACCCAGGCTCGCCCGCCTCGGGGTCCTGGCTGGCCCCACGCCCCACCGGCGCAGCCCCGTCTTCCCCGCAACATCGCGTCATCCATCATCAGGAACACGACGTCTTTGGCGCCGCGCCAAAACCCGTCCCAGCCCGTCAACCGAAGATAACAGCCAAGCGCACGATGTCTCTGGCGCGGCGCGAAACGCCGGCTAGTGCGTCAACGAGAGCCACAACCGTCACATGGGTCGATGTCTTTGAGCCGCGCCTTGGCCCTCAAAACCCTTGGAAGAGCGCAAATCGCATAGGCTTATCCCTCCCGGGCCACCGGTCCCCCTCAAACCGCCCCCAAGCCCCCACCTCGGGCGGCAGCACTCACCCACAAGTACAGTCCCCCACCTCCCTCCCCGCCCTCCAAGCCCGCCATCCGGCGCCTTGGGGCCCCACTGGCGATGCCGTAACCGGAACCGCAAACCGGCGCAATAATTAGTCAGCAAACCTCCCAGCGCGTGCCCGCCCCCCCACCTGTCTCTTGCCAAGCGGGGCTGGGGCCTGCGAGTCCGAGCCGGAGCTCCCCTCCTCCTTCTTCCCCCGCACAGAAATCATCTTGCGCCAAGCCTTCTTGCCCAGGCCTTCTCCCGGGCCCCCTGGGCCGAGGCCGGATGGCACCCAGCCATTCACCCCTTTGAACCGGACGGCCACCCTCCTGTTGTCCGGGATCCTGTCCAGGATCGTCTCCTGCAGCATAGTGGACTGATAGACCTCGCCGCTGCCCACGGCCGGGATCTTGGCCCCCGCGTCCGCGTCCGAGGACAGCTGGCGGCTGCCCTCGACGGAGATCCAGACGTCGCGGCTGGAGTCGGAGCCCGACCCAGCGGCCGGGGCGGTGGCGGCAACGGCCGCGGCAGCGGCGCCCTCGCTGGTGGAGGTCATGTCGCTGGGGTCCCTGAGCGGGATCTCCGAGGGGGTGCGCTTGGACGCCATCGAATGATCTCCGCGCTTGGCGTCCACGCCGGTGCCGAAATTGGCCAGAGGGCGGATAAGGAGGGGAGATTGAACGGAGGGCTGGCCGCCTGGAGGTTCGGTGTGCCCCGGCTGGCCTGGACTGGCCGCGGAGGCCCGTGGGGGCCGGCCGGCGGGGGATGGAGGCCTTTTCAGCGGGTTGTGGGGACACCTGTGGGGGGGCCGTGGGGTGGGGTTGGCGGTTGTACTGCGGGCGGGGGAGCAGGGGTGGCTTTTATATGGGAGGGGGGGCAGGTTGGGTACGAGCTGATTATGGGGCAATTGGGCGGGAATGCGGCGGGAAGTCACGGTGTCGGTGGGGTGAATGTGCGGGCGAGACACTAAAGTCGCACCACTACAGCGAGGTACAAGTCGCAGCACTGCAGTGGAAAGCCAAAAGGAGCAGCGCTGAAGCGAGTGAGACACAAGGCCACAGCACCGCAACGAGTGAGACGGGGAAGGATTAGCGTGTCGGGGTGGGGCACGAGCGGGGATTGTGACGGGCCGGGCTCCGTCGGCGTCGTTCGTGGGCGAGGCGACCGATGGAGACGTCCCGAGGGGTGCGAGCGTTTGTCCCGGGGCTGGGCCTGTTGCGGCGGGGGAGAAAACTCTCACGCAAGTCTTAGGTAAGCGATGTTGGGATTGTTACAAATAGGGACATAAACTGGATAAGAGGGGTTGGGACTGTCCCGCGTCGCAAGGTGTCGGAAAGCAATATCGAGCGTCACGGTCGAGGGGGGAGATTTCTTTCAAACGTGCGGCGCGGCCGCAGCAGCGCCACAACCAAGCCCCACAGCCGTCATGAGCTTTGAGCACGAGTGGCAACGCAGGTGCCGGGATCATCGATTAGTCATCGATTTCGCGCGGGCCGCAGCCCGTCAGTCATCGCGAGATCGTGAGAATGCCGCGGCGGTGGGCACCACGCTCAAGATCATGTCTGTCGCACGCACGTGCTCGCCTCCGAGAGGGTCCGCCCAATGGTCGCCACGGGACGATTAACGGCACGTCTTGGCGGCCGCGTTCCCAACCCCATCCTCTCGAGGCCGAAGACGACACAAAGCGCAGTCTGACGTGCGCCCACCCCTGGAGATGGGTGCGCATCAATGTCAGCAGGCCTGTAGAGAATTTCCGGCGGCAGCTGGTGGCAAACATGACACCCGCCGCAAGGGCACCCTTTTGGGAATGGCAGGTTCGCGCAAGCACGCTAATGTACTATGACTTATGACACCTTTTACAAAGTGATGTGCGGCACCTCACTTGTGGGCACCGTTCTCTTGCTTTGCTCGACCTTCCTTAGCACTATTTTCGGATAAGAGGCCAACGTTTAGTACTTTATAATATTTGGGCGTACCGCATTTTCTTGATAATGTGTTCCTTGTGGTCCCTGTGACGGGCACGCCTCAGTGCCCGCGGCAACTTCGCCACTGCAAAAAGGTCGATATCTCAATCCACTGACTGCACCGTCGGCTGCGTGGCTAATTTTACCACCGCCATCACTGGGAAAAAATGGGCTATATAACACGTGTCCAAACGTGTACAAAGTTTACGGGTTTGTGTTATTTTTGTGTTCTCAGCGTGCCCAACGTTAATGAAATGTGTTTTATGTGTGTTCGCAAATGTATTATTTGGCCCTTTTTTTCCTAGTGCATTGTGCAATGGTGCGGGACGTGGGACACTTGACATTATGTGAGGCAGAACTCCCTCAGCAGAAAAAAACGCTGATCTGAATGGTCATGACTGTTTCCTTGACTGTGCGCTCGACACTGCGCCATCACCATCTGCACCTAAAATCCAAGCGAACAGACCACTCCTGTTCACATCGGGAAAAAGGGTAGACGATTATGCAATTTTGCGGCGGCCTTGCCACTGAAGCATTGCCCGTCAACGCTTCACCAATTGGCCAGATGTCCGTGTTTGACAATGGGTTTGGATGGGTGCGCCAGCGTTGTGTCAATGCTGACGCACTGGACTGGCTGCTGCAGCACCAGTCGGGGTTGCATCAATGACAACATAGACCCCCCATTACATCAACATCTACCCCAGGGTAGACATTTGCGGAAAGGCCTTTCTGCAAATGCAGCATGACGATATTCGTCAAGCCATCTGCGAGTCTAACTGCATGGCTTGCGCATAGGTTGCGGTCCAGTAGCTGATTCAGGCACGACTATGTTGGTGTCGCCCAATCGGTAGTGCTTCTCTGACACACTCGCAAACCGTTGGGGCTCTGCCCTTGGGACGTTCTGTGCCCCGAGCAGTCGGGCTTGAAGCCGTTCAGTACTGCGCAACATCCACGAAAGCTGTGTGTCTACTTTTAGATTACGCAAAATTCCCAAAGAGCTTTTTGATTTATTTCTTTTCACTTTTAATGATCTGTGTATAGATTCGTGGCAGACTCTCGCAAACGACTTAGGCGCACGTGCACACGCGGGGGCATTTAAGGGAAGCCGATCGAAGTTCTGGAAATGAACGACGCCCTCATTTTCTGTTTTCTGCCAGTGTACTAAGCAACGCGTGTATTGTTTGATTGGTGTATCATTTTGGATCGAATAGGAATGAAGAAAGAAGGCGAGGTAGTTGGTCAACCTAAAATTGTCAATGTGATCAATTCATATGCTGGGACGGTCATACTGCGAGCCGCTTGGCGCCACTGCAATTCCAGGTTTGGTAAACGTAAACACAGCATTTAATTACGTTGTCACACCCAGGGTTGGTCTTTATGGCGTAAAAACTGAACATTTATTCGTATTTGCGCGTAAAAATAGTACTTATGCGTAAATACGCGTAAATGCGTGTAAAAATATGTATATTTTGACTCAGTGTACACAAAGACAGTACATGCAGACTCAGGAGAGTGGCAGGCAGATGCGCTGGAGTGGGCAGGAAACGGATTTGTGTTCGACGACATCTTTGCCCTTTAGAAGGCGAGGCGGACGCTGTGTTGCAAGCGCTCGGGGGCGGAGGACTGAGTTTCGAATTCGAATTCGTCATGCAAGTTGGGTGCCCCAACGAGCCGCGAATACAGCCGTAAAAATAACACTTTGGTGTTTTACGTTTTTAGGTTTAAAGTTAAACCTAAGAATGCAAACGTAAACGCAGAGAACGAGCCTGTTCACGCGTAAAAGCCGGGCAAAAGTACATAAATATGGGCCCCGTGTACAAGCAGGTGCAGCCAGTACATACAGACTAAGGGAGTTCGGGTTTGACAGCCAGGCGTACTGGATCCAGCCCGTTCCGGAATGGGCAGAGGACGACCTTTTGTTCGACGACGTCGTTGCCATTGCCAAGGGCCAGTTGGATGCTGATTTATGGATGCCCGAGGGGGCGGCGTACTGATCACTGTTGGTCACTTCATCATGCAACGTGAGTGCGCTGTCAAGATGCGTAACAATGTATGTTTCTCTATTTACGTGTGTTTTCGCATAAAGACATAAACGCGGAGAGCAAGCCCGCCCGTAAGCGGAATGGGAACTTGGTCGTCCCACGTCATGGATGATGTGATCGAAAACAAAGTTTTGGCACTGAAAAGCTTCACCAATTTCATACAGTTTCTACACTGTACATCCATCGCTGAGTATCCAAAAAATGGATAACGGAACTTTGAATCGATACATTCTATCAATGCTCCATAAATTCACCAAAATGGTACCAAATAGCTCAGCCATGCTACCTTTTACGTGAACTTTACACCACCTCAGGGCTCAAACTGTTTCGAAAGGGAACCGCGCCATATTTTCAGATGTGGAAGCAACGGCATCGCTCCGTCAAGTGCACGTTACACGCGGCCACAGATGTGAACAATAGCCCAGACAAATCGCCGCTGTGTGCACGCCATGTCGGGCAAATGACAATGCATAGATGCGCTTTAATGGTGCGTGATCGTCATGAATTGGCGAAAATTATGGCTTCCATCATGTTGATCAAGTCTGGTTATATCACCATCCTTTGCCTGAGGTGGGATGCTCAAAGGTGTGAGCACCCACGCATGCTTGTGCAAGCAGTGTTTGTGCCGCCCACGGGCGGTGGCCAGCACCCGAGCTAGAAGCGGAGTATTTTCCGACTACTCGATCAACAAAAATGCTTGTGAGAACACATCAAAACTTGTGACAACACTTGTGTATCCATCGGCGGGTATGCTTCATCCGTTTGTACAAGACACCCGTTTGCATGTATAGATCCACACGTCCGTGTCGAGCACAAGCAGCATCCAATATCAAATTACGGATAATTTCAGCAAATGGACACGTGGCCACAGTAGCGGGTATCTAGCCTGGCATCCATTGAAACCGAAATGTCTCTAAACGCCTTGAAAATCCTGAAAACAAAAAGCTTTGATCGTCAGACCTTGCAGCAGCGGATTTGCACAAGAGCCCTTTGGCGACAGGGGAACGCGCCAGCGCAGACGTGCGCGGGTCAGCACGGATCTCGTACGATGTCCAGGAAGGAGGAAACTTCACTTCGGAAGTCAACGGGCACCTCTGGCCGTTTTGGTTTCGGTTGATCTGGTCAAGGACCCCGCCCTTTTGCCAAGGGGGTTGAATGGCCACTTCGGGTCTGTGGCGGCCGGGAGGCTCCGGGCCGACGCTCATGCAGAGGCTGTCGCTGGTAACGGCCCCCGGAAGGGCCATTCGGCACAAAGTTTCACTATCTGTTGCTTTAGTGCTTTGGGAATCTGATGCGTTGGTACTGTGTATTGGCAGGTGCACATGTAGTTACCGACCTCACAAAAGCGTTCCAAGTCTTGCCCATATTCAGAACACGGGAAAGAGTGCTTCTGAACATATGCACATCCAGGATGTGTCAGGCCCATACAGAGGTCTGGGATGAACGTGAGACACATTAATGTGTCCCGCTCATGCCAACACCTCTAAATCGGCTGCGTAGGCGGAATATTTGGTCAGGGTATCTGGCGTACGGGCCCGCCGTATCCCTCA